TTTACTCATTGCGCAAATGGATAATACTGTATGTCTGATAACATGATCTTGTTATAGTAAATATTGAGAAGACATAAGTTTAAAATAAATTGTGATAAATACAAAGAGAAAAGGCAGAAATAAAATACAATAAGCCAACAAGGCACCACAATTTATTCCAAAAGTCTTTGTAAACAACCAAAGTTACTGGTGTAGATATATGTAGAGCCATAGTATGTGACAGCCTCCCTTCAAGCAGAGGTGCTAAAATCTAAGGAATGAAAGACAAAAACAAAAACTAACTACAGTGAATTACAATCTTTTTTTTTTATAGATATATTTATATTCTCCTTATTTAAAGTGAAAGAAGTATCACAGTCTCAAAGTTCCAGAGCTCTAATATAATAATAGGTAAATGCATCCTCTACCCTTTAGTATCAGCAGTAGATTACCACTGGATGACCTTAATGATCTAGGTGAGACCAACCAGGTAGTCACTAAGGTATGGAGACCAAGGCAATGAAGACCTAATAACCACTAAAATATTCAGATAATTGTAGAGAATGCCATTGGATTGATTTGAGAACCAGAGTAACATGGCCGCCTTTCTGTGTGTTAAAATGAAGCTTAAAGTAATCAGAACTGGTTCAGAAGTATGAAGCTAAAGCATTGACAGCTAACATTGACTCTAAAAAAGAGATTGGCATTATAGAATGTAACATCATTAAATCAAACACTGTCTTTGAAATACCCAGCATATAAAGTACAAAAAAATAAAAAATAATAATAGGACCTTTTAAAGTTGATTTTTTTAATTTATTTTTTTTTTCTTTATAACTAGAGCTTTCAGAGTTGCTGCAGATGTCTTTGGCCCCTCATAACTTTAAGTTACCATGGCAATGCAGGTTGGCACTGTTTTGGCATCAGGGGTGGAGTTTAGTTGAAGGCTCCTTCAGGGTCTACAGGTTTTATAGGTTTCCTCTCAATCTACCTGCAAAATTTTTGCTTCAAACTTGATGGGGAGCACAACCGTGGAGCCACCAAGGTCTTTAGGTTGTATATAATTATATATTCAACTAAAAAGGAAATG